GCCAGTTGTGACAGCACGTGCCTGTAATCCAGCTACTCAGGAGGCTGAGGCAGGAGAATTGTTTAAACAAGTGAGGCAGAGGTTGCAGTGAGCTGAGATGGCACCACTGCACTCCAGCCTGGGCAACAGATCAAGATTCCGTCACAAAAAAAAAAAAAAAATCAGAGAAATGTAGATTTTCTAGGAAACTACCAGTTAAGTTCAGCTCTCCAGCTCTTAGTATATGGCAGGCATTTGTTCTAGGGCTTTACTCATGTTTACTAATTTAGTTCTCACAACAGCAGATGAATGGGTACTACTGTTATGATCCTTTCCATCTAACAGACGAAGAAGCTGAGGAACAAAGAAGTTAAGTAGCTTTCCCAAGCCCACACAGCCAGCAATTTGAGAAGCTAAAAATCAGAACCTGGCAATCCATCTCGAGTTATCATTACACTCTACTGTCCCCTGAGCTATGCTAAAATGCACTTTGCAGACCCCATACTTCAGGCATATCCAGACCACCCCTCATTGTCAGAGCTGGCAGACAAGCTCAGGTGCAGCCAGTGGGATTAATGTATCTAAGAGGTGTGTGTGCCTGTGTGTGTATCCCTACCCACATTTTCCCAAAGAAATTGCTGTATTATTATGTCTAACACTTTCTATCATGGCTCCAAAGGAATCATCACATCCTAAAGAGAAGCCATGCTCACAGTTAAATGTTCCAAACCTCTGCACAGCAACCAACCAGAGACCTTTGCAGACATCCCCAGTAGTCCACTGGGAGGCATTTTAACAAAAGATGCAAAAGAAAGGGGAATGTCTATGGAGAGGGAATCTATACCTTGGAGGCTTCAGGCTTTGGCAGACTGCTTTCCTCCCAAGTCCAGCTTGTCGCAAGTAGAAGATGCTCAGAAAAGATCGCTACAGCATCTTTTCCCGATAATGGAAGCCTCCACAGACTTAACGTTACCTTTACCTTATGCAACACTTTAGAGGACTCGGTGAAAATGTTTTGCGAGCTGACTGACCAGTGTGCTAATCACATCTGCATCCGGGGCCTCGCTGATCCATTGTGTTTCCCAAGGGCTTAGTGATGATTAGGAAACTGGCGTGAGGGGTAACTGTCTTCCGGCTTTCAGATGTTGCTTAACACATTGTTGGAACAGGAAATACAAGCAACAAATATGGGTAGACAAGTGGGAAGAGGTTGTGGGATGGAGGTAGAACAGAGCTAGTTGCATAGCAAGAAGAGATAAAGTCACACCGTCAGAGAAGCATCTGGAGGAGGGAGGTGGACACTCAGGTACTTCTTTTACATGATGTGCCAGCAACAGTGCTATGTACCTTATATGCATGATGACATTCAATTCTCACATGCTTAGAGAGGTTACTTTGCCAATATCACAGATATAATAATAATGCTAATTATTGTTTAAATGTATTAAATGATTACTACGTACAGGTCATTGTTCTAAAGGCTTTACATATGTTAATTCATTTCATCCTCACAATAACCCAGGACCCAGGTATTACTATTAACCCAATGTTATGGTAGAGAAAACTATGGTAGAGAAAACTATGGTATAGAAATGTTACCCAGCTTTCCTAAAATTTAACTGGAAAAGTCCTGTGCAAAATCTCTCTTTTGTACAATGGTGAAGCCCGAAGTGTGCCAGTTATCCTAGTATGATTGTTAAAACCCCTCCTTTCAGTTTCTTTTTGGTTTTTTGTTGTTTGTTTGTTTGTTGAGATGGTGTCTCTCTCTATCGTGCAGGCTGGAGTGCAATGGTGCGATTTTGGCTTACTGCAACCTCCGCCTCCTGCAAGCAATTCTACTGTTCCCACCTCCCGAATAGCTGTAACTACAGGCATGCGCCACCACACACCCAGCTAATTTTTGTATTTTTAGTAGAGACAGGGTTTCACCATATTGGTCAGGCTGGTCTCGAACTCCTGACCTCAGGTGATCCACCCACCTCAGCCTCCCAAAGTGCTGGGATTACAGGCATGAGCCATCGCGCCCGGCCTCCTTTGAGCTTCAGAAGTGGCCAAATTATACACTTATCCTAAATAAATGTTCTAAAATAGGTGATAGAAAGATCAGAGCCAAGTGACAGGGAGTAAGGAAGTGGGTAACATGAAGATTCAAACCACAATCCTTATGAAGGTCACAGGGCCAGGCCTGAGAGAAAGGCCCAGAATGAGGGCACAGCCCGTGATCCATGCCCCAGGGGAGGCTGGGAGACAGAGAGGAATGTTCACAGCAAGGAAAGAGAGGTCCTAGTCCTACAAACAGGAGCATTAGTGGGGACCTGATCACAGGAAAGAGAAAGAGGGCCAGACACCAAGACCAAAGCATAGTGTGTGGGGCAGAGATTGTGAATATGAAATGAGCGGGGGCCCAGCTGGCAGAAAATGTCTGCACAGGCGCTCTGCTGGGAGAGCTGGCACCTGAGCCCTAGGGCAGCGGCTCTCCAGCATCTACGTTTAGGAGCGAAGGAAGGAACTGAGGAAAGAGAAGACGGAGGCAGAAGTCAGAAGGAAATAGCCAAAAGGAAGGTGGTAAAAATAAGATCCTTCCCTCCCCGTTTTAGCCAGAACCATTGCAAATGGAATACTGAAGAAGAAAGAGATAACAAGAAAATGCCTTCAGTGAAGAAGAGAAAGAAATCTGAAGAAGGAAAGAGTGGATGCTTTCAACATGCTCGTTTTGAATTTAGAGCTGTAGAAAAAGCCATGAAAGGAAGTCACTTAAACTCTAAGACTGCAGTTCTCCCATTTGTAAATTGAAGACCATAGTTTCCACTTTGGGGTAGAAAGTTCGAATGACAGAATCCATGTAAAGGTCTCAGTAACTAAGATCTTCACATGAGTTCAAAATAAGCAATAAAAATGATTGGGGTCTTTCTTCAATTCCTTAGAGAGAGGATGATTGTTGAGAAACCACTTACAAAGGAAGAGTCACAAATAAAAATTTAATATACTTACCATGGGCAACATGATGTTTTGACATGTGTATATTTGTGAAGTCATTACCACAAAGCAGATAATTAATCTACCCATCAGATCACATAATCATCTTTTTTTTTTCCTTTGGTGGTGGAGAGAACATTTAAGGTCTCCTAACAAACTTCAAGTACACAAAAAGATCCCCAGAATGTATTTATCTGATTGTACCTCATTAAAGTGGACAGGGGAAAAAAGTAAAATAAATATATAAAAACTATTTTTTTATTTTTATTATTATTTTTTGAGACAGAGTCTCACTCTGTCACCAGGCTGGAGCGCAGTAGCATAATCTCAGCTCACTGCAACCTCCACCCCTGGGTTCAAGCAATTCTCCTGCCTCAGCCTCCCAAGTAGCTGGGACTACCGGCGCACACCACAACGCCTGGCTAATTTTTGTGTTTTCAGTAGAGATGGGGTTTCACCAGGTTGGCCAGGATGGTCTTGATCTCCTGACCTCATGATCCGCCTGCCTCGGCCTCCCAAAGTGCTGGGATTACAGGCATGAGCCACTGCGCCCGGCCTGGCTTAATTCTTAAATGTTTATGTGAATTTAAGACAAATTACTTCCTCTTTCTGAGCATCACCTACAAAATGAAATGGCAGGATTTTATCCTTTTTAAAGGCTGAATAGTATTCCTTGTGTATGTACACCACATTTTGTTCGTTGATGGATGCTGGGGCTGACTCCATATCTTGGCCATTGTGAGGAGTGCTGCAGCGGACATGGGAGTACAGATAGTTCTTTGACATACTGATTTCATTTCCTTTAGATATATACCCAATAATGGGATTGCCGGAGCATACTGTAGTTCTATTTTTAATTTTTTGAGAAACCTCCATAAAGTTTTCCATAGCAGTTGTACTAACTTACATTCCCACCAGTAGTATGTAAGGATGCCTTTTTTTCTACATCCTTGCCAACACTTATCTTTTGATTTTTTGATAGTAGCCATTCTGACTAGAGTGAAGTACCACATGATCTCACCCATAGGTGGAAATAAGTAGAATAGTGGTTACCAGAAGATGAGGAGGGGCGGGAATGGGAGGGGAGGATGAGGGATGCTGAGGGATGCTGAGGGATGCTGAGGGATGCTGAGGGATGCTGAGGGATGGGTCAACAAAGCTAGAGTTAGGAGGAATAAGTTCTGGTGTTTTATTGCATAGTAGGATGATGAAAATTAAAAATAATTGTATTATATATTTCAAAATGGCTAGAAGAGAGGTTTTTGAATATTCTCACTAAAAGAAATAATGTTTAAGGCGACAGATATGCTAAGTACTCATTACGTGATTTATACATGTATTGAAACATCACATTGTAGCGGATAGATACAAGTATGTGTAAATCATAATTTGTTAAAAAAAAAAAAAAAGAGAAGAAAACAAAGAGAAGAGGTTTTAGAGCCACCCTTCTAAAATCCAGCCACATCATCACTCTTTATCTTGCACATATGTATTACCTCACACTCAATAATTTACTTTGTTTTTAGCAAACATTCACCTGCCCAATATTCTCTCAAATCGGTTTATATAAAATAATTTGACATCCATGTTCAAGAGAAACACTATTGCTCAATTTTAAGTTTTATTGAGAGTTGTGTAACTGCTTGAATAGCAATTGTTTCCTAGAGAACTAAAGTTCAGCAACTTAGGAAGATTCCAAGCAGTAGAGTATAGTGGCTAATGTACAAAGAGAGAGTATAGAGACAGATCTAGAGGCAGATTGCCCGATTTTAAATCTTGAACCAACACCGACAAGTTGTATGATTCAGGCAAATGATTTAACCTCTGTTTGTTTGCTTATCTGTAAAACTGGGGTAATAGTGATATCTTTCTCTCTTTAAGAAGATTAAATAATTTATCGCAATGTACTTGTACCATATTCTGACACTTAGGAAGTCCCATAGAAGTATTACCTCTTAGCTGCATATTAACTGCCAAAGACAGATGTTCACTATGACAGGTTCAAATTCTTTATTTGACAAGTAAACAGCTATAGGCAGCATTTTATTCAAAATGGAATAGTATCACTTTAAGTAAAAATAATAATAACCAATATCTTGGTAAAATGTGCTTCCAGGAGGATGTAGCATCCAAAACATACATTCAACAAACTATTGAATAGCCAATGGCACAGTTCAGTTTTCACCCTTGATATAAGAAATCTACCAAAATTAGAAGTATTTTTGGATATATTACACATATAGACTCCCTGTTTAAAGAAAGGAAGCTGTATAAAGTAAGTGTTAATAAATAATCATTTAATGAATGCTTTTAGGTGGCAGAATAACTCTTTGCTTAACCAACTCAACCAATCATTTTGAGTGTGGAAAAAACATTCTGAGGAAAAAGGAAAACCTAACATCAAATTTCAGTTAAGGGAGTGGTTATTTGAGCTCTAGAAAATAAATTGAATTTACTTCTGGAATAATCTAAATAGGTAGTCACATTGCATTATTGTTAGGATTCAACTTTACTGATTAATAGGAAAGTCTACATGAATTAAAATATCTGCACATAAAAGGGTTTTGCCTTTCATGAGAGTTAATATGTTAAATTTTACACTATGCTCAAAGTTTTGCCTCCTACACATTTAAATGTCTCTCTCTATTCTTTATTCTTCCTGAAAAATATTAGAACATATTTATTGGAGGTTCACATCAATTAGATCAAGTCATTGTCATTGAAGACATATTTCTGAATCTTCTACACAGAACAGAAAAAAACTTAAATGTATAATATGAATTACCTAATAATGTTAAATTAATAAGCCATACCCCTACTGAATACAAATATTTAGAAATACACATTCAGTAATCAACTAATCAGGACCTTTACTGAAGTAGGGTTTTTAGAAACCAGAGACTTCAGGAGAGATATACACTAACTATATTTTTGCCATGAAAAAACAAAACTGTTTTCCTGCAAAATACATAATACCAGCTTCAAGTTTCCATTTCTCCTTTAGTTCAGAGCAAGTTTGACTAGAAGATAATAATCCTAACTCTTCTGCTGTTGTCTGAAAGTCAGCAATAAAAGGACTAGGATCCAATTTTATTTCATTCTCAGTAGAAACTGGTGTAAGCCACACTGATTTCCTAAAGAAAAGGGAAACAGAAAGCAGATAGTGTTGGCACACTTGGGATCAAGTCAGTTTTACCGCTGTTTAATATCATGATCATTTTCAGAATAGTCATTCAGGAGTGTGGCATAGAGCCAGCATACTACGCCTTCTAGATCCTCGTGAACTCTTGGTATAGGATTTGAGCAGATAGGCTTACAAAAGAGCTAATTCCACATAGTCTCCCCATGATTTCTGCATCAAACATGGAGTGGAAAGATGAATGGTCTTAGATAACTTGTAATGCTTGCATTAGAAGAGTACCAATGTACCCAAAAAAACAGACTCAGCCAAATGGATCCTAAGAACAGTAAGTAAAAGCCACCAAAGGCTTAATCTGACCCACTCTGATGGTGGCAAAGTTCTATATGTCAAAGTGAGTAAGTGAATATGAGAGAGAGAGAGAGACGACAACATCAAAATTCACGCACCCAAAACCTAAACAGACAACTTTGTTGGCCAAGTCTTCATTTTTTTAAGGAAAGTAGGTTTCAAGCAACATAGTATTTTACTATCAAAATAGGAATATCTATTTATCATTATTACTCTGGTAGCCTACAGAGGCAGTAGTTCTAGGGCATTAGATCAGAACTCTGTGTTGCTCCAAGCATTGGGTAGTTACAGAATTGAAAACATATGTATGTGTGTGAAAGATAGACAGAGACAAAGAGATGGAGACGGAGAGA